AAGGTGCTGTGGCCCAGCTTCTGCTTCTATAAAGGAAAGTTATTTTGGTAATTACAGAGGACCTTTAATTAAAGTGGTTATCTGAGATGAATGGGTTTATGGATCTTTGGTCCTATTTTGTGCCTGTAAGATGGTACTTTTCACTGGGTTGTAAGTTCCGGGGAGGTCAGAGCAGCAGAGGCCACATGTGGCAAGTGACAGGTGACTCCCCAGTGATCGGCCAAACTAACCTTCAGTTCTTGGGGAGAAAGCCCTGCTTTCCACCTACTTAATCCAACTTCTAAAACAACTCTAGGAATTTGAAGAAAGATGACAGATAGTTTGGTTTTATTTACCATTCCCTTCTTTGTCTTGTTGATAGAAAAGCCCATGATTTGGTTTTACTCAGAGATATGTGTGTTGTCGCCCCCCCGCCCCGCTTTTTAAGTTTTTTTTAAGTTTTTTAATGTTTTATTTATTTTTGAGAGAGAGATAGAGACAGCATGAGCAGGGAAGGGTCAGAGAGAGAGGGAGACACAGAATCTGAAGACAGGCGACAGGCTCTGAGCTGGCTGTCAGCACACAGCCCGACGCGGGGCTCGAACCTATGAACTGTGAGATCATGACCTGAGCCGAAGTCGGACACTTACCCGACTGAGCCACCCAGGTGCCCCAGGGTTTATTTTTGAGAGAGAGAATATGTGTGTGCAAGCATGAGTGAGAGAGGGACAGAAGATCCAAAGTGGGTTCTCTGCTGACAGCAGAGAGCCTGATGCGGGGCTTGAACTCAAACCAACAGTGAGATCATGACCTGAGCTGAAGTCAGATACTTAGCTGACTGAGCCACCCAGGTGCCCCAGAAATTGTATTCCCTTTTATCCCTAAATCCTAGTAAGGATTTTAAAGTCTGTGTATGTTCACTAGAAATTAGCTGTTGAAGTGCAGGCTCCTTTCAGTTTTTCTGAGTATCTTAGTTGTGTTTTTGAAAGGACTCTGTTTTATCACAGGGCCCTGGCAGTTGAACTTTGTAACTGTTTGTTCATATGTAGCTTGTTTCTACCTCAAGAGCACAGATAGAACTAATTTGCTGGTGCCATTCATTTCCAGTCAGTTTGCTGCTTGACCAAAAGATAATATACATAATGTTTGCTTAAGAAGGCTACTGTAGTTTTGTTTTATTTTTAAGTTTGTAGCATCCCCAGTTTAAGGAAAATGCACTGTGGAAATACATATTTCAAAGTGTTCAGATTTTGAAAATGCTCTATAATTCCAGATGGTGGAAAACAAAGGGACTTAGGCATTTTAAAACAGTTGCTTAAGCATTCCTGTTGTCTTGCTTAAATAAGTATAAGAAAACAAGAAGTCACAGATTCGGGGATGAGAGGGCTGGCCAGTCAGGGAGGGCACAGCGCCGGCGCACACAGACCAAGGGTGTCCTGGTGCATCGGAACAGCCAGGGCAGGCTCCGAGGCTGGCGGGCACCTGCCTCCCGCGTGGTGCCCTGGGGATGGAGGAGGCGTATTCCCCCTTTTGGCTTTGCTGTCCCTTAGAGCCTTTCTTGTCTTTAGCACGCAGCCAGATGCAGAGGAGAGTGCACGGGGACTTCTGTGGCTTAGGGCACGTCAGGGAGGACGTCCTGTGCGAGAAGTCAGGGAAGGAAGGATGTTGGGCCTCTGGAAAGTCTGGCCCAGCAGTGTGTGACTACACCCCACTGCATGGGCTGCCAGGGCCCGGGGTAGATGTCCACGCGGGCTCGGAGACGGTGGAGAGGGAAGTTAGCGGTAGCGGGAACCTGATTTCCTCCTGAGCAAGGGATGCTGCTCTTCCTCTGTAAAGGACCAGGAAGTGAATATTTTAGGCCTTGCGGCCACATTTGGTCTCTGCCACACAGTCTTCTCTTTTCCTAAAACAGCCCTTTAAAAATATCTCAACCGTTCTTAGCAGGCAGGCCGTGGGCTGTAATTCTCCAATTCTGCTCTTATTTCATCATGACAAATTATCAGTCCTCTTTATAAATCCAGTATTTCATGAGTTACCTTTATAAAGTTGAGATTCAGGGAGTCAGTTTTTACTTGGATTAGGTGCATGTAATTCTATTCTGACCCATAATTAAGGAGTATGACTTTATCTGTAGTCTGTGGACATGGAGAGTTTCCACCTGGTGGGTGTGAGTGTATATCTTGTATATAATCACCCAGTTGTAAGGTCTTGATAATTAGCTTCGCTTTTTTGTGATTGATTTCTTAGTATTCTTTGTTATATGTAGCCTTTCTATATGGGATTACAAAAAATAAAAAGCACATACTACTTGAAATGAGAACTCATTTTTAAAAAAGACTTCAGGCTAAATGAGTGACTGTGTCCAGTGTTCTGACTTCAGGTGGAGAGACTGTTCTGTTTGTTAGATTATCAGAAATTTGCTTTAAAGACCAAAATAAGCACAAAATAATCTGATGTCAGTGGAGCGTTGGAAAGGATTTGAATACACCTGCTAGCTTTTCAGTCAGTGACTTCGCTAAAGTATTTATAAGTAAAATGAGTTCTTCTTTTTATTTGTAGACTTCCCAGGATCGAAATTTCCATGATTAGCTCTGAGGACATGGATGATTACTTTTTTGGTCTTCTCTAAGGTGCCTTTGCTCTGAACGAGAGCTCCGCTCCATTATCCGTCCTAAGTGCCTGTGTCTCCCTTCCAGAACAGTACAGATTAATAGGTGCTGGGAGCTGGGACACGGCCTGGGGCTTGGGTGCTGGGGCTGTGCAAGAACACAGCCGTCTTCGTGCTCGTACACTTCAGTACAAAGTAGGATGCAGAGCGGTACAGTGTACGGTGCTCAGGATTTGTGGTTCAAACTGCCAGATGAATGAGCTGCGTTGCCCCTGCAGAAGCCCGGCAGCCGGTGCCGATGGCGTTACCCTGGGGAGCGGCCTTTCTTTCCCCTTCGCAGTTGGCTTTTGCTGTCGTTTTGTCTTTTTTTTCTTGTCCATTTTAGTAGGGTAAAATGGCATAATCACATCTCTTTTGTTTGCCATTTTCCACGGTCTGAAAACCAGAAAAGCGTTTATGGTTCTGTTGATTTCCACCATCTTTCCCCCCAGAGTCCCTTACTAGGGACAGATCACTTTTGCCCCTGTTGGCTGAGCCCTGGAAGCAGGCTGCTCTCCTGTTTCTGTCCTTCACCCGCAAGAATTCCAGTCACAGCGAGCCCCCTGCCGCCCCCGGTCCTAAAGTGAGATCGGTCACTGGCCAGTGGGTGCAGCTTGGGGACAGCTGGGACCATGCTGGGAGCTGTGAGTGATGCTGCTTTTTTAGTGTGTCCTGTGACGAATTCTGTACGTAATCGGAGGCAGCTGTGCCTTCTTCTCATGCCGTCCCCCAAGCTTCGTGGTGACCGTGTCCCCGTGCAGGTGCCTCACCGCCGGTCTGGTTTCCGTGAGCGGTCACGGTAGCTCCTGTGCCCTCACTGTGTCTTCCCGGTGCTGCCGACTGATGTGAGCTTCTCTGCCTTGTGAGATGTGAAGATGTTTTTTTAAGCAGGGACGACTTTTATAACGTCAAAAATTTGTAATCTTCCTTGCAACCTGTTCCCTTAAGGAGTCCTTTTTTTTTTTTTTTTTTTAAGATTCCTTAAAACTGCTTAAATTTTAAACTCCGTGATCATCTACTTAATAGTCAAGTCACGTGAAGTGGGCGTACCTTCACATGTCCCTGAGTAACCTGCCGCGGTGCCTGGATCGATCAGCATGACTGGCTGTGTAATAAAATTTGCCCTCTGTGATCTCAGATTTAAAAAATATTTTGAACAGATGTTCATGAAAATACTAAATCAGGGTATATTCCTACCCGATCTTCTAATATGGATGATTTAGCAAAAATAAATAGTTCTCAGAATGTTATGTGTGCCATACATAGGTTATGACCTTTGCAGCTTCCTTCCTTCTACGTGGGCTCTTCCAGCACAGACAGGATTTTACACGAGCCCACGTGGCTGTTAACGTGCTCTTCCGTGATCACGATAACGGGGGCCACTGCACTGGGTGTGGGCAGAAGAGCTGTGGTTGAGCTGTAGGTTTCACTTGGCAGGGGGTGGGGGTGGGGGGGTGTTATAGGACGTTGTGTCTCACCGAACCCCGGCTCAGGATTTCTGCAGTGAGCATCTTGGACCGACAAGAGTGACTCTTGAGTAGTCCTAACCCTGATCAGGACTTTTGTTAGATGCTGTCATCTTGTCATGTGTTGCTCAAAAGTGGCATTTGAGAGTGTGTTGTGGCAGCTGCAGATTACATAGTGACTCTGTGTTTCCTGTTTCCAGTTGTGACCAGTGAGGACCTTGTGTAACTCTGCAGATGGCCGTGTTCTTGCTATTGCAGCGGGGTGGGAGGAAGGGGAGGGGGTGTGTGTGGCACTGTTAATGTCAGATGGGCTTCCTGATAGCTGAGGATGAGTCTCCCCAGTTCCTGAAGGACTAGCTTCCACTTGTTTCGTTGCTTTGTGAAGAATGGATGGCACCGATCTGATCATTTTAGGACTCTCACGCCTGAGCTGTGAAAAGTGCTGTCTGAGGCTGAAAGTGCTGCTTAGTGGTGGCTATTTACGTTAATTCTTTCAGATTCTAAAGAATACGGTCAAGTACAAGTCACTTGTTGCTGGAAGATAGGACCTCGGTGTCAGATGTGTGCTTTCTTCCTGTAGGAAAGGGTTTGCTTTCTTCCTTTCCCAGTGTCACATTCTTAGCAAAGTGAGGAATGGCTTAATTTTATAGGTTGACATCATCCCAAGCTTTAGAGCTCTTTCAGCATTTTTAAATAAAAATTTTTTGTTATCAGTAAAAATATTTTCTTTTCTGAGAAGGAAAAGCCCTGCGAATTTTACTTAGACAGTGTTTTATAGGCTCAATATGAAACTGACTGTACTTATGTGATGCAAGTTAGCATTTTAGACTGTGAAACTAGGCTGAAATTTGAAAAGTTAATATGTGAAGTTGAAATTTTATTTGAAATACTCTCTGCGTTTTGTTTAGACCAGCATGTTTTGGAAATTTGATCTTCATTCATCATCCCACATAGACACACTTCTAGAAAGAGAAGATGTAACACTGAAGGAGTTAATGGATGAGGAAGATGTTTTACAGGAATGTAAAGCTCAGAACCGCAAACTTATAGAGTTTCTGTTAAAAGCAGAATGTCTCGAAGATTTAGTCTCATTCATTATAGAAGAACCACCTCAAGACATGGATGAAAAGATCAGATACAAGTAAGAAAATTCAATCTTCTCTTGAGGGTGGGACTGAGTGAAGTGGGGGTAGAATCTTGCTCTCTTTGTCCAGCAGCTCCCCAGGGCCGTCGGGGACCATTTAGACTGTTAAGATGGTCAAGAGTGACAGACTACACAGAGCACGCAATCCATTCTAGAACCAAGTCCAGCGAAATCACAGGGTTTTTAAAATGAGTGTTCTAAATTGCAGTCAGAAGGCTTTGTGGAAGGCAGCATGCTTTATAAACAGTGATGGAGTTTCTTAAAATAGTAAGACGGTTCAAGTAAGTATTTTCTCTTCTTTGCACATAGGAAGCTAGAGAGTGCGTGACTGCCCAAGCTCCCATGCAAGTCCAAGCCAGAGCTTGGGTTATGAGGACCGTTACTGATACAGTAAATTCTGACCTCCGTTAACTTCAGGGAACGGGGTGAGCATGAGCAGAGCTAAATTTAAACAGCAGGCACCTTGGGTCACTGTGGCCAGGTGACAGCCCCAACACTAGTTTCATCTGCTTATGCAGAACAGTAGTGCACTGGGGTTCTTTATCCCCGGCTTCTGCCTGCACTTGGACCACACAGTCCTGAAAACCTGGTGAGCACCCCACGTGTATTTCAAGTCCCTAGGTCTCAGGGATCCATCCTTCCATATCCAACTGTATTGAAAGATTTGACTCTCCCTCCCCCTTCCCCGATCCCCATCTCCACCCCACCCCCCAAAATAGGACAGATTCGGGAACAAAAAGTCATTGATTATGCATTAAATAAACTTAATGGAATAGGAAGAATTAAGGCTTTTAGTAGATTCTTCTTTGCCCTTTCTCCCCCAGTCTGTTCTTCTTTTCAGATATCTTTTTATTTCTTTCTGGGGAGAATTTTGCTGTCAGAGAAATAATACTTATTAATGCCTTCAAGTTGCTAGTGACTTGGACCTTCAAGGAGGTGAGGTTATGTTCTCTCCTGGCCATTAAGAGTGACAGCTAGCATTAGTGACAGCCTCTACTCAGATCCGTGCTCTGAAAAGGAAGAGGAGAGAAATTTCGCAGCAGGATTACTAGCATACTCCCCTCCCCCTCCCCCGCAGATGGGAAGGATTCCCTTCATGGTGACCCCACAGGGTGGGTGGTGACCCCGCAGGGGGGGTGGATGGGAGGGATTCCCTTCACAGTGACCCCGCAGGTTGGGCTCAGCTTGTCATGGGGAGCCAGTGCTCTGCGGGCTTTGCACCCAGCCCTCCTGGAAGTGGGGGTCGACCTCCCCTCTTAGAGCACTTGAGCCAGAGGGGAGGGCTTACCCTTCTGGGTGGATTTCCTCACCTGCTGAACAAAGCTGATAACCTGTGTAACTGGGAAGAGTAGGTACAGCACATCTTCTGGAAGGTGCTTATTTTACCACAAAGTAGTCTTGGCCTCTGTGGTATCGTCATGCCAGCGTTTGCTTCTGTTACCTTTGAGGTTGTGAGAGCAGGTGTGCTTCCCCGGACACGTGGCCTTCTGGCTGGCACCATTTTGAGGGAGTGTAACTTGAGCTGGGCAGAGGAGTTCTCTGCTCTAGTTCTGGCCTGGGTGGAGCCACCGGCTGTGTGTAAGATACGTGGTACACACAGCTAGATACCCAGAGGGTATTTCTGATGGGATCGGAAAGCTTTTGGGGGTTAAGGTTGATGTAGAGTCATCTCAGGAAATTTAGACCAGTGTATTATAGAGTCTGTGTGATGGAGTGACTGCTGTGTTTTGTGAACCTCATAACTATTAGTTACACATGGGGATTGAACTCATCACTGTTCTCAGTCGATGATCATATACGAGGTATTAAAGGTATGTCATTTTGCACTAACCTTTTTAATCTTAATGACAGATACTTCCAGTCTAAACTATTTAGCAGAAATTTGATCTAACAGAACTTGAAGGCTCGGTTCTTAAATGGTATAATGACTCCTAAAACTGAGGTGGTGTTGTTTGGGTCAGGGTTCCTACAGAGGGACTGTGGAGGGGCTGGGGGCAGGCGGGGACCAGGAGGGGCTGGGAAACCAGGCTTCAGGAAGGAGAGATGGGACAGGTGGGTCTGGGGCCGCTGCTCCCGGGCCACGTGGCCGTTGGGGTCCACGCCACAGAGCACGTGGGCCCCAGCAGCGCGCGTTGCCTGGAGTGGTGGAGGTGAGAGCCTGGCCGGAAGCTCTCCGAGGAAGAACTGGGAGCAAAGCCGAATCAGCTCTTTCAAGTAGTTTCCCTGAAAAGGAGCAGAGAGAGAAAGTGGTCGTGCAGGCAGGTGGGAGCCAGGGGAGATGTGGTGGTGTTTTCATCCCTGGTGGAAGAGGTAGTGGAGTGTCAGTGCGCTGGCGAGGGCCTTGCGCAGTATGGTGGGAAGTGACGGAGCAGAGGGAGGGAGCCATCCGGGGACGTGCTGTGCCTAAGTAGGCGGGGGTCCTTGGGATCCGAAGGACGGGGGGAGAGGGCTTCAGGAGCTGGGTCGGCTCTGTGGATGGGGGGAGGGAGGAGCCCAGGTGCGGGTTGGGGTGTAGCTACAGAGGAATGGAGGGTCAGAGCCTGCGGCAGGGAGGGGGGTGGTGTTTACCGCAGGATGGAAAGGAGGAGGTCTTTGGGGGTTTTAGAAGCTTGTTTAATGTTTGAGAGAGAGAGGGAGGGGGAGAGAGAGGAGCCCCAGTCTGTCCAGAACCAGGACTTGGAGCCTTTTGTATGGTGCCCAGGCCCATGTGTGTGCTTCTTTATCTAGGCCATATGTCTCAGTCATTGTGCAAAAATAGGTAAAAAATTTATTGAAAACAGTTTGTAAGTGCCCGTGGCCTCTCCTGGACCTCGTGTGTCAGAATTCGGAGAACACCCCCTACGTGTTTGGTTTGCTGCTGTGGTTGAGGCCACTGCCTTTTACCAGTCCCTTATTTGCCAGCAGTTTCAAGAGGGGGCCCCCACCCCCGCGGCAGCATTTTGGAAGTTTTATAAAGTAGAAAATAAAGAGGAGTAAAAAAGAGCTGGCTTTTATTTACTCCAGGCCCCTCCTCAGTATTTTGTACGTGGTATCCTTCCCCGTGACATAAATGCTGTTGTCTTAGGGTTGCAGACTTGGAAACACAGGCCAATGAGGTTAAGTCACTTGCCCAAGGTCACACAGCTCGTAGGTGGCAGAAACGGAGTCTGAACCTAGGTGGTGTGACTCTGGAAGCCGCACCTGCACCCACTGTGTAATCCTGTCCCTGGCACGAGGGTGACATGACGTTGTGGCGTCTTTGAGCCCATGTGCTCCATAGAGTAAGAGAGAGCAGAGCGCCTCCGATGCGGTTGAGCCACAGAGCATAGCCGTTTGATAATACGATCTCGATGCCCACACACCTTCCAGTTCTGTTGTCTTTCTTTTCCGTACAAGGGTTTCTCTGGGGACATTCTCGTTCTGCTCCTTCTTCCGACCGCACTCCAGCCACTCTCAGAGGTTGCGGCTTCCTGGTCTGCCGGGGCCTCGCAGCACGCGGCGCCTCCGGGGCTGGGGTCTGTGTCCTGGACTGCGGTCCTCGCCTCTCTCTTGTCCTGCAGCTGCTCGTGGCTGTTCTGTCACCTCCCCGTCCTAGTCAGCCTTTGACTTGCTGCTCCAGATGCCTGGTTGGTTCTGGATCCTGGCTGCTTGATGGGCAGGAAGTGAGAGCAGAGAAGTGAGCTTGTGGGTGGAGTGGCCTCGGAGTCTCCGTTTGCTGCCATTGAAACCAGACGAGAAACTGTGGTACAAGGAGCGAGCGGAGCAGGTGGATCAGCTGTCTGGTTTTCAGAGAGCGAGAGCTCTAGTAGACAGAGGCAAGCGTGCTTTAGGGGTGCGGTGTATCTGGGGCTGTGGGGTCTGCAGGGAAGGCTGTGCCCCCCGCCGGTGAGGTCTGACGGGGGCCTGATCTGGAAACCTGTGGGAGGCTGCCTTACAGAGCTCGTTTCTTTTTTTTTTTTTTTAATGTTTTATTTATTTCTAGGAGAGAAAGAGAGAGAGACAGCGTGAGCAGGGGAGGGTCAGAGAGAGAGGGAGTCACAGACTGAAACAGGCTCCAGGCTCTGAGCTGGCAGTCAGCACAGAGCCCGACGTGGGGCCCAAACCCACGAACCGCGAGATCATGACCTAAGCGAAAGTCGGACGCCCAACCGACTAAGCCATCCAGGCGCCCCCAGAGCTCGTTTCTGTCTACAGCTTCCCCACGCGGGTGGCTCAGGCCGACCTCCTGCTCTCTGCTTCCCTGTGTTAGAAGACTCAGTCTCCTGCGACGTAAGACAGGCTGAGCTTGATGAGCCCCCCATCCCCACCCCAAACCGCTTCTAGCACCAATTGCACCCCATGTGAAGATGGATGTGGCGGGGCTCGGAACCTGACTGTGTCCTGAGCACCTCCCAGGGGCGGCCGTGCGCAGGGCAGTTTCCTGGAAACCAGCGCCCCTCATGGTTGTTCTACAGGCGGGGCCACCTCCCACGCCAAAGCGGGCCGCTCAGGGCCTCGGCTGCGCAGGCCTGTGGGAGGAGGCCCCGCCCTGCAGCGGGGGCTCCCGAGCCCTGGGTGTGCTCTGGTTTTGTTGGGGGGAACGTGGCCTATTACAGCGTGCTTTAGAGGTAACTTTTTAGACCCAGGAGAAAATTCACATTGATCTACAGGTTGGATGAAATGTATTGAAATGATTTTCTAATTCCCAAAGGTGATTTTGTTTTTCACAGAATTGTAGGAAGCCTTTCTGATTTGTGTTTTTTACTTTATGTCATGAAACTGTTAATACAGATGATGATACAAGTATCCTGTTCTTCTAGGTACCCAAATATATCTTGTGAGTTGCTCACTTCTGATGTCTCCCAGATGAATGATAGACTGGGAGAAGATGAGTCCTTGCTAATGAAATTATATAGCTTCCTCCTAAACGATTCCCCCTTGAACCCACTACTTGCCAGTTTCTTCAGCAAGGTGCTAAGTATTCTTATCAGCAGAAAACCAGAACAGGTAAATATTATTTTCCAAAAGGTAAGTATTAGGGCTGATCATCCCCCTGAGATGATCCCCAGTAATTTTGTGTTCTGAGTGTGCCTTCAGTCCAGGTTCTGTAGAAGAGTGCTTTAAGTGTGGCGACTTCACACTGATTCACATTAGTGGGGGTACTCTCCCTCGACATTGGCTTTTCTACGTGCCTCATAGCTCCGTTTTGTAGTTTGCTTTGGTTTCCTCTTTTGACGTATGAAGCATGAGAATGTGGGGTGTCCACTTGGGAAGGTAGCAGTGTGGCCCCTACTGAGCGGTTGAATGTGTGAGCGGAGTCGTTGGGACTCTGGCCAAGTAAATTTTTATTTTAATTTTTATTTGCTTTCACCTCCTGACAAGCACAACACAGATGAAGCTTTAAATCGAAAGGCCTTTCCATAAATGTAATTGATGATTAGTTTATGCAGAAGTCTTGATTCCACTCAGAAGCTTAAGTGCTTAGCCTGAGATGTCTCTGCTTCAACTGCTGGTCCTGTCCAGTAGCGCTCGCCGGGGGCCGGAATTCCTGTTACTGTCCTGGCGGGCACCTCCCCCCCGCAGCCCCGCACATCTGTTGTGTTCTAAACAGCTCAGATCTGGGGGGGTTTCTGTTCTAAGGATCTGTCACACAGGTCGTGGCTTTCAGAGTAGCGTTTCTGGACCAGCAGCGTGGTGCCCCTGAGACTCTGGTAGAAACGCAGGTCCCGGCCGCCTCACGCCTAGTGACTCAGACACTCTGAGGGCCGGGCTCAGCGATCTGATTCTTAATAAGCCTTCTGGATGACTCTCATGCTTACTACAGTGTGAGAGCCACAGCTGTAGTGGATATTGGTGTGAAAAAGCACATGCTTACCAGGAGACCAGGATCCACTGATGGAAACACGCACCCAAGGAGCCACGAGAGCCTTGACGCTCAAGTGCAGACAGCTCTGCCAGAGAGCAGCGGGCAGGGGTGTGGCGCCGGCGCGCAGCTGCTCCCGCCAGCCAGGCCTGGCCTCCTTCCTGATGGGAAACAGGCCCCGTGACCCGTCCTTGCTGTCGGCCCAGGGATGGAACTATTTTAGGCCCAGTACGTCGGTCCCGTGCCAAGGCAGAGTGGGTACAGGTTTTGTTTTAGAAAGACCAGAGTGTCCTTCCGTGTCTCCTGCTTGCATTGGAATGGAGGTTCTTCATTCTTAGACCGTAGTCCCCAGATCATGGTCCCTGTGACCCAGCTTGTCTTCCCCTGTTCTGCCTTCTGGGGAGAAATGACAGGACTGCTGGGTCTTCAGCAAAGTCGGAGTCGTCCCCTCAGCCCCAGTCACCCGGCCTGTCAGATGGTTGTAGCCATTATCAGAACGGGTCTTTACGCCTTCGGGGTGCGTTTCCTTTTCCCTGCGTGCTGGGGGAGCCCAAATCCACGGGTCCCGGTTCTCCCCATACCTGTCCTGTAGAGCGAGAACGCGCTTGAAGCTTTCTGGGACTCTGAGCGTCTGCATGGCCTTCCAGGTCAGACATACCTGTGCAGAGGTGGCCGCACGTGCCAACCGAATGCTGAGCACTGGGCCAGGTCGCTCTTTTTTGTTGCGCTTCTGGGCTTAGGACTGAGTGGAGCCACCCTTGCTCTCCTCGCTATAGGAAGAGCTCAAACCCAGCGCCTGCACCTCCGCCTCCCGATGAGAATTAAGAGTGTGAATGAAGGTGCTCCATCACGCGATACACCGTTAGGAAGGGCCCGTGCAGCCGCAAGTGACGAAAGCCGTGTCAACTCCGTCTGCCTTAACCGACACGGACGCTCGTCCGCTCACGGGGCAGGAAACCAAGCTGCGGGACGCCTTCCAGGTTGGCGGCTCGCACGGCAACCGTGTCCTCCTCCATCTGGACGCACTGCCGTCTGGCTCTGCCGGCCGCCACCCCGGCTGCAGTTCGTGCCTTTGGGCTTGAGTCCAGCGCTCTGCCACTAAATCATGCAGTGTTTTGGTCACATCTGACTTTTTCCTCTTCTCCTCTCCTTGTGCTTTTAAAAACCGTGTGACTCAGTTGTGAGTGGATTAACTGCTTGAAGATTTCTGTTACCACGTGTCACCTCCTTGTCTGGAGAGGGAACGTATGATGGCTAGTCTTGTACTTGTCCCCGAGGGTGGGGGCAGTTTCTGTCATCGCTGGCTCTCGGACTTCTTCACCTGGGACAGTGGCAGGATTGTGGCTTTTGTGGCATCCAAATCTATGTTTAAACCTCAGGGTGGCCACGGTTTGGCTCTAGCAACATACTGAACTGGTCTGTGCCTCGGTTTCCTCATCTGTAACACGGAGTTGGGGTAGCCTCACCGCGTGGGCTCTGGAGGGGTCTTGGGGAGACACAGCCGCTGCCACACTGGGCAGGCTGCTTCTGGGTCTTGGGAAGGGACCCCGGGTACCTCCAGACCGAAGGCGCAACAGGGTGTATGGGCAGAACCCTCTCCCCCTTCCTGCACAGGAGGGCCCCAGGTGGCCTCTGGGGCTCCATTAGTGTTGTTACATCCCTTCTGCATAGCCGCCCGCCCCCCCTCCCCGTGGGAACCCTATCGGTGAACCCAGATAAAACCCAGATGTGGTGTTTCTCCAGCAGGTGACTCAGCCACTTAGACTGGCATAGAAATCCTTTATGCTTTGAATTCTTTTCCTCACCTTGCTGGAGTCTAATTGGGATTTTGAATATTTTGCATTTCAGTGCAAAGTCTCATGGACTTACTTTATGTCCTTAAACTGTTAAATGGTGTATTCTCCTGCTCTTCACAGAGTATTCAATTATTTATCCTTATTCTTTGAAGATTAGTAATGAAAATGAACAGAAAAGGACTCTATTGTGGTGTGTTTATGCTAAGGAATGTGTGATAGGTTAGGAGATTGTTCCTAAGGGGCTTGCGGACTGTAACAACTAGCAGCCCTCCAGCGTGATGCCTGACGCCTGACTTGGCATGTCTGCCGGGCCCCAGCGGAAGATGGTGGTGGTCTTTGAGAGGGGCGGGTCCGGGGGGAGGGGGGTGGGCAGGGCATAAAGTTGACAGTTGTCCGTTTCCGTGTGTTTCAGTTTTGGTTTGTTCTCCTCTAGATTGTGGATTTCTTAAAGAAGAAACGTGATTTTGTAGACCTTATTATAAAGCACATAGGAACTTCGGCCATCATGGATTTGTTGCTCAGGCTCCTGACATGCATCGAGCCTCCGCAGCCCAGGCAGGATGTTCTGAATGTGAGTAGAATTGTGCCCCCCGCACGGGGGCGGTTGGGGGGAGAGGGAGGGGTGGACACAGGGGCTACCGGGAGCCGAGAGGGGTCCTGGGAGGTTGGGAAAGGAAGGTTGTCTGGGAAACAAGGGGGGGTGGGGAGGAAGGAAGGTGTTGGTTGTTCACAGGAAGAGATTCAGGTTTTGCAGGATTGGTTCTTCCAGCTATGCCCATTCGTAGGTGCCGGGGGTGCCTTGTGAGGGGCTCTTCACCCTTTGCTGGTTTGTTTTAGGGGGGATGGGTGGAAGATGTATCTTAGAGCTGCCCTGGTGGGGGTGGGAGGTTGGGAGTTAGACACCTCGTCTGCGAACACTCCGGAGAGTGCGGCCACTCTGCGGGCCTGGCCGCGAGGACAGCTGTGGCTGTTCCCAGGAAGTCCATCTTTGCAGGTGACTTTCCTCTTGTGGGTAGTCAGGAGCGTAGGCTAAGAGGGAGAATGGGATGTATTTTCAAAAGCACCCGTTTTACAGTTCTGGTAGATGATGATTTCAGGATCCATGTGCCTCTTGAAGAGCTGTCTGAAGTGGAATTTGGGTGGAACAAGGAACTTGAAGAGGAGGCTCTTCATGGGCTCTTATCTTTGCCTCCTCTTGTCTGCTGTCTCCTCCCCTCTCATTCTCTTCACTGCCTTTTTCCAGAACCTTCCCCGGTCCATTCCATCCTTAATACTCAGCTTCAAACCTTAGCACTTAACTCATTTCTTTGAAATCAGTTTTATTGGCAATGCCTATTTTATTTTGTATATGTACATACGTATGTATGTATTTAGAGAGAGCTCCTGCAGACAGGGGAAGGGCAGAGGGAGAGGGAGAATTTTAAGCAGGCTCCACGCTCAGTGGAGCTCCTGCAGGCTCCTGATTCAGGGCTTAATCCACCACCCTGGGATCACAACCTGGGCTGAAACTAAGAGTCGGGCGCCCAACCGACTGAGCCATCCAGGCGCCCCAGAAATGCCAGCTTTAACTAAAGACCCAAAGAACCGGAGGAGAGGCAGGTGTCTGTTGGGTGGTGTTCCGGGAAAGGGCGTATTCTGGTGAGGTGAGCAGGCGGGCCAGGGCAGCTGTCTGGGGGGAAAGGGGGGTTAGGCTGGGTCTGTGGAACCAGGCAGAAAGAAGTCTACTGAGAACCCATGGCTGTTGTGAGGACACCAGCGGAGGGGACCCAGGGAATGTCCTGCGGTTCCCCCTGGGAAGGGGCCCGAAATTGGGGTGCTCGTTCTTATTAGGTGGATTTTGTGGACCTCTTTTCTCAGAAGATGTCGAGGACAGGGGAGGAAGGTCACCTTTATATTTGGATTGCTGGAGGGGGAAATTAGTTTAGTTTCTTAGAATTCCTTGGGTCACTTCTGGGTTGAATTTTAGGGCCATCTTTAAAGCACTAGATCTCTCCCTCCTGGAGGGATATGGTGATAGACAGTTAATACAGGCCTAGGTTGGGGGAAGGGTAGTTAGAAACTCCAACATGTCTTGATTTGGGGCCTGCCATGGGGGGGTTCGTCCCCAGGTAGGCTTGGAGTATAGGTGCTTCTTAATGGCTGTGGAGGCAGTCGGGGTGGGGGGCAGGTCAGCTCACAGCCCTCACTTTCCTTCCTTCTCCCTGGGTGGTCAGGACCCTCTGCCCTCTCCCCTCAGACATCACCCCCGGAGCCCAGCTCTCCCCCACCTGCCCTGCTGCATCACAGTCTGCACTTCAGCGAGCTGTCCACGAGGGGAGTTCACGTGCCCATGTTCACACCGGTCCCACCATGTGAGGCGGGGCCTCCAGCCATGGGCCCTCTGGTGGCTTCGTGTGCATTTCCTGGGGCACCGCTGTCCTTGGAGAGCGGACTGCCGGGCCTTCCGCAAAGTGTGTTTGATTTCTTGCCACCCAGTGCCACGCCTCCCCCCTGCCCCCAGTCTCCTTTAACCTTTGGGTTTGATTTGGTTTGATTTGGTTTGGGGGTTGTTTTGGGGTTTGTGTGTGTCCTTTCGTGGTTGTGAGTGCTTTGTTTGTTACGGTGTTTCTGCTCGCGCACAACCAGCACCCCGCCAGCTGATTCTGAGCTCTTCTTCCTCACTCCTTTCCTCTTCCTGTTTGCATCCCCAGCAGCCCTTCACGTGTAGAGGAGAGGTTGTCCTGGTCAGGATCCCAGCTCTGTCCTAACTCGTGACAGATAAACTCCCCCGCTGTGGCCCGCTGCCCCGCGCTTCCTGTGGCTGTTTTGGTTTTGAGTCTAAAAGTTCCAGATGTTTTAACCCAGAGGCTTGATACTAAATACTGCTTTTGTCGGTGTTTATGAAGCCTTCTGAGAGTGAATGCTCTTACGGAAAGTGTATTGAGTCCCACCTCCCCTCAATGAGCAAAATACAAACCCTTAGTGCTGAGTGGCAGAGAAGCTGGTGTTAGAATTTTTATGCCTGGGTATTGTAATTTGGGGCATAATGGGTACTGTTGGCTGCTCTTTAAATAATATATTCACTGGCATTTTCCTTGGGGGACTTTTAATTTCCTGTAGTGTTCAAAGTCCAGAGAGACCTGTAACATGCTACTTAAAATGTGATGGATATTTCCAAGTATGTTAATCTTCATTGGGGCTTGAACAGGAGCCACGCATTGCTATGATTACCTCTACAATGTGTTTTGCAGTGGTTAAATGAGGAGCAAATTATCCAGAGGCTTGTGGAGATAGTTCATCCATCGCAAGAAGAAGATGTAAGTTCTCTTGTGTGACTGTAAACTTGATTTTTTTAATTTATTTTTTTTAAAGCAACCATGTTTATGTGTGCACAGAACGTAATTGTATAAGACCTGAAGGTAGAGGACGTGTATAACCTGGCATTGTTCAGGTTGACAATTTTCTAAACACTGAAGGGTGAAAAAAAATCTTACGTTTTGCTAATGCCCAGGACACTTCCAGAAACGTGGAGGGCGGCAGGCCCTGGTTCTAGCACCAGCTCCCGGAGCCAGAATATGGGGCTGTGTCTGCTTGCCTTTGTTGCAGACCTCCGTCCACACTTCTCTTTTCTTGTACACACACCTTGGGCCCAAATGGTGTGGCCACATCTGCACTCGCCTCCTCTGTTCTGGCTAGAGCTTTCCAGACGGCACCTCAGAGTCTTCGCCACCATCGAGCCCCTGGAGTGTTGGGCTCCCGGTGGTGGTCCTTCCTGGCCCGGCGCACGGTGCACCCGGGTTCAGCTGGGTCCCGGGTGCCAACGACAGACTCAGCAGTAGGATCGGGGCCATGTTGGAATGTGAAGACTGAGCTCTGTGCCGAGGGTACGCCCATGCGGGTGGGTCCCCAGGACCGGCCCATCTGCCTCATGGAGGAGACTGTCACTCTCTTGCTCTGTAGCTGCTCTGGCTGCCCGCCTCGGTCAGGCTGAGCTGCGCGGGACCGCTGGTGGCCAGCCATTTCCCCCGCACACATGGCACTTCTCTGTGGCTCAGCCTGCCGTCTGCGAAGGGGCTGGTTAAAGGAGAGGTGGGGAGGTCGGGAGACCCTCTTGTCTGCCCCTAGGAAGCCAAGTTAGCTTGAAGAGTGAGCCCCATGGAGGAAGAGTGCAAAGGTAGGCGTGGGTACCCAGAGGCCGTTTTGGCTCACAAAGGTGAATTTTCTGTCAAGGCAAAGTTAGCCCCTTCTACTCTGGTGCACCTTTTGATACCTGGAGTTTAGCTAAAACGGGCTTTTCCCCAAAAGGGTTTGTCATTAAAGGTGCTGTCGACTCCCCATCACGCCCTTGGGACAGTACAGCTGGCGCTCCCCTCGGTATTGTTACTGCCGACGATGTTCAGAACACGGTCCGGTGCGGGCCCTGCCGGTGCCCCAGTGCGGGTGCCCGCCATCTGCTTGGGGCCATGACCCGCCTGCACCAGGGGAGTCAATGCTTCTTGAGTGACCGAGTTTGGCCACTGGGGGCCGCAGAGACGGGGGATGGGGAGCGCAGCCCGTCCCACACGCGGGGAATGTGTGTCTGTGGATGAGGCTTGCCTTTCACCAGGTTCACATTCCTGAACAGGAGAGCTTGATTTACAGGATGTGAGGTACACGCGCTTGCACAGGGCTCAGGAGAGGGTAATGGGGGGGCCCAGTTTGGCAGCTTGAGTTTCTTTTTCTTTTTCTTTTTTTTAAGAACAAAGCATTTGGGGCATTAAGACTTTCCTTAACTTGCCTTGCAAGAAAGTTAATTTTGCCTCTGGACAGTCCTGTTGATGACTTCGGTTTTGTGTTGTGTGATACGTCAGATGCTAAAATTGCACTGGCGTCTGTGTTCATGAAGGAAATGCTAGGCCCCTAACCCGGCTCAGTGGCGTTTGCTGTCCCAGTGTGTGTCGTCATCTGTGCTAGAACATCACCGTCGACCACTCTGGGCACATAACTGCTCAGGCTGCAGGCCGTGCCCGGTGTCACATGCCACGGAACATGGTGCATGCGAGTGCCGCCATTTCTGGCCTTTCCTGGAAGGCTGTCAGTGCCACCCACTTGGAGACGATGCAGCATTTCTTACCCATTAGCATATTCCAGAAAGCTTTGTCTTTTTTTTTTTTTTTTTTTACTGTTCATTTTTTAGAGAGACAGAGTGCGCGTGAGTAGGGAAGGGGCAGGGAGCAAGGGAGGGAGACTCTGAAGCAGGCTCCACGCTGACAGCACGGGGCCCGACAGAGAGCTGGAACTCATCAGTGGGATCATGACCCGAGCTGAAGTCAGACCCTTAACCAGCTGAGCCACCCAGGTGCCCCTGTCTCTTTTTTATTTTTTTTAATCAGTGCTGATTTAAAAGCTGATTCATGAGCTTCTGTGCTGGTAAGAATATATACAGTTGACCTTTGAGCAACACAGGGGTAAGGGGTGCCCACTGCCTATGAAGTCGAAAATCCACGTAGGACTCTGGACTCCGCAGACTCTTAACTGCTGATAGCCTGCGATTGGCCACAGGCCTTACCGATAAGGCGAGCCGTCAGTTAGCGCGTGGGTTGTGGGTGTGTTCCACGCACGTGCTGCTAACGGTGAGCCGGAGGGAGACCGTGTCCTTACGAAAGTCCTAAGGAAGAGAAAAACGCACGTCTGTGCGTACTGAACTGTGTTAAGAAAATCTACCCGTAAGTGACCTCGTGCAGTTCAAGCCCATGTTGCTGAAAGGCTAGCGGTATTTGGGGACAAAATTTTTTTTACAGGTTTTCAGTTGTAGACATTTTTCCTTGCCCAAGCTTTGATCACACGTCCCCACACATGGAAGTACGTCCTGTGCCCTGTTGTGACGTGGAGCTCATTAGCCTGGCAGGATAAAGTGCTCACATCTTTATCTGTGTGACTTCTTCTGAGCTTGACCTACTCACTGCAGCTTATTATCGCCAGTGTTAATTTGTGTCATTTCTTAAGCAGTTTCCTCTCTAAGGTTTTATTATGAATTTGACATGTTTGAGTTGATACTTAAAAATGTACTTTTTCCCTTTAGCGGCATTCAAATGCTTCACAGTCACTTTGTGAAATCGTCCGCCTGAGCAGAGACCAGATGTTACAAATCCAGAACAGTACGGAACCAGATCCCCTGCTTGCCACCCTAGAAAAGTATGTTTAAAAGTCTCTTCTTGTTCTTTTTTTCTTATTGATGCTGCTTGATGTGTTACCGTTGTGAGTGGTGGGTAAGTCTTCTCCTGCGGGAGCCACCTCCCTGCAGAACCCCCTCAGGGGAGGGGGGCGAGGCCGTAGCAGTAAGAGCCAGCTCGCCTGACCTTAGCCATCCCGTGGGGCCTGGTGGAGACCCACAGGGTAAGAAGGTAAATAAGTGACATTTATATACAGACTTCAAACCTTTGAAACGGTTGTAAAGTACAGTTTATGAAGCCATCGTAAGGGTGGAGGCTGCATCATAACCGTAGTCCCTGCCCCACAAGCCTTTGGTGAACAGTCTTGGACACGAACTGATTTGACCCACTTAGTCCCTGAGTTTTACTAGAGGCTCTTAGTGTTCACTACACCTTCGCAGCTGGCAAGGGGCAGCCTGCCCAGACCTGACTGAAGGGTCACAAGTCTTGTCCGCTTTGTGTCTTGGAACTGCTCGTGCCCTTATTTCTAGACACTCCCTTCGAGCAGCCCTCTCCTGTTTGGGAGGAAGATAGCTTGAGGATGCTCTGCTGTTTGGAAATTTGTGACGGGCCAACCCGTGGGTACTAGTTTTTCTAGATTCACAGACTTTCTGAAAGAACGTTTACTGTCAAGCATGGGCATACATGGGACCTGCATCCACACAGCTGCGGGCTGTTCTGGTACAGAAGAACCGGGCACTTCTGCGCTTCGGGGCGGAGAGGGCGCGCCCACCACAAGCGTCAGGCCCTGCCGCTCGTGCTCTCGCTGACGGCTTCGCCGGCCCTCGGCGGCCTCCTGTGTGTCGGCGCTCACATGGCTTCTTTTGGCCTCACTGCCTGGAAGGCCCTTTATTCAAATAAAACATTTGTGTGTATGATTTCCCCGGCAAGTGTGAGATGAGCAAGGAGCAAGTCAGAGACGTGGTAACGTCTTTAAAGTCTCTCCCCCAAGAAGCAGAGTTGTGTTTTCCCGGTGAGTATTGTTGAATAGGAAGGAGCTGACTAATTCTCTGATGTAGCAAAGCAGAGTGTTGGCTTCTGAGCGGTAGGTCACTTTACCGGTCCCATTTCCATTGTTCTTGGCTTCATGGCATATGTCCTCTTTTTATAAAAAAGAGACGCTCCACATTCAAGTACTAGCAATCATAGCGTTAGGTTGAACCATGTAAGACTGACATTTGAGTAGGTTAAAAATGTATTGAATACCAGTAATGTCCTGTGGTTCGTGACAGAACTAAAAGTCAGATGTAATTTTAAATTACCAAGTGGCCACTTTCAAGTACAAGGTGAAATTAATTTTAATAATTATTTAATCTAGGTGATACAAAATATTTGAACATATGCGCATTTAAAAAATCCTTGAGGTACTCTCCATCCTTTGTACAAAGTTTTGGGAACCCAGCGTGTATTTTACACTTAGGACAGATCAATTCAGGCTGATTACGACTTGGATACAGTGGCCTCCTGTGGTGGTTGACTGTGGCCGTCTGGGACAGCAGGTTCCCCTTAAAGGTGAGACTAATCAGCATTAATCATGGGGTTTCAGTACCACCAGAGCCCTCTCGAATACGGGACCTGGCCCATGAAGCCAGTGTATATACTGGCTGTTAGAGTTCAGGCTGTGTCTTGGGTCCTGGATCAGCTATAAATTGAGCCCTACAGGTGCCGACTCAGAATTGACATCATTAAATACTAGTTGGAGTAGATTATCTTCAAATTCATGGACTTGAGGAGTCAGGGGTTCCGTGCTGTCACCGAGTTAAATCTTCACTGCCCTGAGCAGTGGGGAGACTTAACTCTCGAATAGTGCCTCCCACTCTCTTCTTGACAATGAGAACCAACCCCTTGTAATAGCACACGTGCTCCCACATCATGGTGGTTGCTTAGTAGCTGTTGATTAAGAAAACGCACAGTGACCAAGGCTTCTGTGGGCCTGGTGAACTCCCTAATCGTGCTAGCATTTGTACACAGCTGACACGTTATCAGGTAGTGACGTAGAATATCTGTTTACATTTGATAAATTATGGAGTAATAAATACTATGGTATTATCAGGCCAGTCTCCTGGCAGTACACAGTAGGTTACCCACGGTAGTGTGGGCGTCCCTGTATGGACACACTGGGTGGAGGTGCAGGCCAGCTCGCAGAGAGCATCGGGACTGAGCTCAGGCGAAAGAGAACGGTAAAGGTGAGGAGCGGTAGCAGAAGGTCCCCGAGAAAGCGGGTGAAAATGTTGGCGCGTAGCGTGGAGGCAGTCTGGGCTTAAATTGAATGTGTTCAGTTTAGTGTCTGCAGTTCTGAAGTCCAAAAATTCCTTTAGGAGAGAGAGATTCCTTAAAAGAAGTTGTGTCAGAGAAGGCTGGACTGTGCAGCTCTTAATTCTTGATACGGAGGAGCTGAGAATGGCGTTGGGGTTTGATCCCAGGTGAGCCGAATGAGAGGTGGACACAAAGTGAGCCGTGGTCTCAAAGGCACCAGGCCCCCGAATGGCTTCCTGCATAGAACAGCTCCTGGGGGGAGTCGATTGCCGCCCATCCAAGAACTCCAGCTCTTTTTAAATGTGATAGTGGCTGTGTTTTCTCTCATGTGTCAATAAATGCCTTTTTACTTAAGGAATATGAAGGCATTCATTTTATACTATTTGATAAGCTTAGTCCTTCGGTTTATGATTTCTCTGTATTGGTGATATCCGTGTGCTGAGATGAGACTCAGAATATGGTTCAGCTGCTGTGTAGCACACATCCTGACTGTCACAGTTTTTTTGGTTCTCCTGTCGCTTTTTCCCGTCAGTAGGATGCTTTCGTGGATGTAGTCGGCTGCGGAAGCCGGGGGTTGGCCAGGGCCTCTATGGTAGCCCCTCCCTCGGGCATCAGCATTCGTGACCGTGTGAGTGCGCTCTCTGCTGAGTAAGAGCATCACACTTGACCGCGCAGGTGGACGCCGTGGCCACGCCCCTGTGCCTGGGTGAGGCTGCTGTTTGAAGAGTGTACCCATTGACTGAGAAAAATCCGTTTTCCAGAGCTCAGTCCCAAACCCAGTACTTACTCTGGAGACTACCCTGTGTTGAGTGCCGATTTCAGGGCTGATCTGGGAGAAGCTCGAAAGCTCTTTCGAGCAGGGGCTCTTCTGAAGTGAGTAGGTACCAGTTGTATTTGCTTCCCCCAAATAAAAAGAGATTCTCCTGCTCGCTGCTCGAGAGCGAGGGCAGTGGTGTTGGGGTGCGGTGAGCACAGCTGTGCGTCAGGGTGACCGGCATCTCTGCTGGGTGATCAACAGGGGCAGCCCAGCCGTAAGCCCCATTGTGAGGGAGAATCCAGTCTCTAATTCACCTGGATTCTGAAAGTTACTGAGATTTCCATTGAGAACATCCATATAAATTTACCTAACTAGTTACCCTTGTGTTTTACATTTATCGTGACCTTGAACATGTAGTGGGAAGAGCCAGCCTGCAGAGAATACTTTTTGGGCAGTACTTCAGTCAGATCCATTTCATTGCTACCATGTTATTTTGATTTACCAAATTTTAATTAGAGGGTAAAATGCAACAATTGATCTTGTCTTTTACCTGTTTTAGATCTTAATTATACACTAATGCCTTAGTGGGAAAACACTTGTGGGTTCTGTTTAACTTTTTGAAAAATTCCCCTCTTTTTGTGGGGCATAGCGTTCCGAATCTTATGACCACGCACAGCTACCGCCCTGCTCTCAGTGGGAGGTGACTGCCAATCTTGACGTATTTGTTGGCTCTCAACAAGGGTGGCAGAGGCGAGCAGGGCCCAGGGCCTTGTTCATTCTGCAGGGGCGAGGATGGGGGGGTGTAGCAGGAAAATATACATGGGAGAGTTACATTTATAATAAGCAGGATCACTTGTCTAAAAGTATTAAAAATCAAGCATTAAGTAAAACGGACATGCCCAAGTGAGGTTGAACTCTCGTATAATACTTGCCTTGCTGGTACCGTGATCTTTTTCTCTGACGTTACTGCTACATGATGTTAACGATTAGCACCTGACTGTTGATTTGTTTCCCTAGGCAAGAGATTATAGAACAGCTTCTATCAAATATTTTCCACAAGGAGAAAAATGAATCTGCTATAGTCAGTGCAATCCAGATACTGCTGACTCTGCTTGAGACACGGCGACCCACGTAAGCTTTCCTTTGGTCTCGCGGCAGTGAGCCGCTCCGTCCTGCTTTTAGATTTTTGAAAAGTTCAAAGTTGCCGGTTGATAAGCTACAACATCATGCCCCTGAATTGCAGGTGCCGCCTCTCTTTCCACTGCATGAACTGTAGCTTTCCAGTTTTACCACTGCACGTAAGCTAGCTTTACGTGAACGTGGCAGGTGGGGGCATGGTTTGGGGAGCGCTGTTTATGGGCAGCATCTGGGGGTTTGTGCTAGTTACGAAAACGTCACTGCAATAAGGCGTGTCACGGTAGAGAAGCTTATTAAATACGAAAATTGAACAGGGCTGTTCCCCTGGCCGGTGGGCAGCTCTCTCCTCCAGGCGCCAATTCAGGGACTCTGTGTCTTGCGGTTCTTCCCTCCTCGTGCTAACGTGCGGCTCCAGATGGTCCTTTGGGGGTTTCACACGTGAGGCCACTGCAGTTGCTAAGGCTGTTTGAGAATGGATGGGCCAGTGGCTTGAGGCCTTTACGGAGGCATTTGAGGCAAGTGTTTGAGAATCAGAAATGTGGTCTGCTTTCCCCCGGTGTGTGTCCTGGGCCAGCCGTTTGTGTCTGTCCTGTAATTCTTCACAGTTTATGTCCCCTGCCAGCCGGTTCGCTGATTAATTGTCAGCGTTTTCTAATTGTTCCCTGGAGCATGAAAAGAGGTATGTATATGTAAGCACTGCAGGAATATGCAGTTTAGAGATGAGGATTTGTGTTTTCTCACTCACTGTTGGATTTATCCAGGACGCCGGGGAGCGTGGAGAGGGCAGAAAAGGGCTGCCGTCAGCAGGTGGCCGAAGTACACTCTGGGTGTATTTCTAATGATGGAATCTCGGTTCTCAGCAAAGTAGTGAACACAGCCATCCTGTTTCCCGGTCGCGGGGCCCACGTCCCGGTCTGTTTAATCTTTGGTCCGTGGTGGGGCAGGGGCGGTCTGGCAGCACCGCTTCAGAGGTCCGGTAATTTGGAGACTGCGTCTGCAGCTTTGACCGTGTCTTTTCCGGTCAATTCTGTCTCAAATCGTGTAACCGGTAACTTTTAAGGTATTAATCAAGTGGTGCAGGACTGTCTCCTGCGCGTCCTGCATCGAGACGGTAGCGCCGTCTCTGAAGATGGTTTGGAAGCACCTGAGGTGGTGCCCCGGTGCCGTGACTTCAGCCGGCTGCCTCGCCTTGACAGGAGTACTTCTGAGAGAGAACAAGGATACGTCTTTGCACGTGGAAGGGAAAAACCACGTAACTGTATAACCAAAAGCAGACTGAGGAGATGCACCCTTCAGAAGTAAGAGAAGGAAAGTTCTGACGGAAGAAACTTGTCTTTAGATCAGAAAGGTTTATCAAATACCAAACAGGATTAGATTTAAGCGGGGAGGGCTCAGATTTTAGCCTTTTCTTGGTGAGCTTTTGGAATCAGAAGAAAGGATAAATCCTGAAGGTACCTGGCTAAGAAGTCATGGGTTAAGTGACTACAGCGCGAACCAGGTTGCCACATGTGTCATTTGTGTGTGTAAGTGAATTCTACGTTTGTGTTGTAACTGAACGCTGGGACACAGGCCAGGCCTGCGACCCTGACCACCAGTGCCGGCGCGTGGGTGCGGGAGAGGCGTTTGCAAGCCCTGCGACTTCAGTGTGCCCACCTGGTTTCTGTTCGGGGGGTACATTTTGTGAAGATGTACTTTACCAAAACCAACAGAAAATGTTAGAAGAAAGAACTTAAAGGAGGAATATTGGTAGAAACGTTGATAAATGAAATGGATGGGGCGCAGGGGTAAGAGCATTATTAACAGGAATGTGAAGGCTGACTGTTAAGAATGAATCATTGAATAAGTCACATGTTGGAAAAGACAGAATAAATTATTTTGATAAGACTCAAGAAATGAGAAGGGGTGAGTTAGTTAATATTTTGGTTCTTGTCTTACACCAAGGAACTGGGGTGGACTCACAGTCTCTTGTGTCATTCTGACGAATTATACTTCAGATACGGTTTCCGTAAACGTAGAGGAACGGTCGGCTGTGCGACTGCCAAAGCTCCCGGGGGAGCCCGGGGACCTCGGAGCTGTAGACACAGGGTAATTTGCACACACCTGCAAGCCCTTCCCCGGGCGGTGGTGGCAGCACAGGATGGGACTGAGCTGTGCAGCGTGAGAGGATGCTACACTTGCACAATAGGCCCGAGGAAACAGAGCAGCAGCCTTTGGGGGCGATGCACAACCCCCGCTGTGATCCTCCTCTGCCCTCACTCCTGCTGAACAAAGCTCTTCGGCCACCAAGGACATCCTCTGGCCCTAAAGACACAGGTGAAGACCATTTGCAGTAGGCAGAAGGGCCCGGAAAAAACCCTCTAGCCCACGAGAGAGGCAGGGACACCTTCAGGGCCCCGCCGGATCGAGGTCCCCTCACGCTGAAGTGAGGTCAGTGAGACCTGAGGACCCATCAGCCGCCTAAGACGGGCTAAGCCAGAACAGCGCGTCCCCCATGGGTGTTGGTAACGGCAGCAGCCGGCGATGGAGGAAAAGCCGGTGTGGAAGGAGACACCACAGGCGCAAGAACAGGCTTAAAGACTGAGCTCACGGGTGAGGGGAGAAAACCTTGGCAAACCAGCCCCAACTGTGAACACGAGGTACAGGATGCCCCCCGAGGGCCTGGAGAGAGAGGGGTGCATGTTCTGGGAACAAGTACTGCTTATATCAGTTCCTACTAGCCTACGTGACTTGTCTACCTTTCCACCAAAAATCCCAAGACAAGCAAGATTTTGAAATGCTGGAACTGTCTGCCAGGGAATTTAAAATAACTCTGATTAACATGCTATCAGCCGTGGGGAAAATGGACAAATGTGAGCAGGTAGGGAACTCTAGCAGAGGTGGAAGCTCATGTGGAAAGTTCTGGAGCTAAAAACCACAGCAGAAATGAAGAATGCCTCGGGGCTTACTGGTGAAGTTGGACATAGTCGAGGAAGGACTCTGTAGCACGCTAGAAATGACCCCCACTGAACCGTGAAGCGGGAAACCAAAAAGACTGGTTTGTGAGCCGCAGGGGCCTGGGAGTGACCTGCCGCTGGGAACAAGGGCCGGTGCGCAGATCTTGGTCCCTCCCACCAGAGTGTCCAGGGACGGGGCCAGGGCTCCGTGGGGAAAGGGCAGGAGAAGTCTCACATCACATAGGACAAAAGTCAGTGTAGAAAGCCCTACACAACCCCAGTGTAAGTGGCCGGGGTTATGTCAGAAGAACCCAGGAGCCACCGGAAACACACAGCTTTCATCGGCCTGACCTGATCCACAGAGTCAACACCACCACCAACAGTGTAACGACAACTTGTACAATAGAATAAAGCAGCGTTGCCTTCTCCCAGAGTACACCGTTTCCGCTAGTTCACATCGACACACGTAAAGAGAGGACAAGAGACGCGTCTCCCCTCAGCAGAATTTCATGTGGTTCCTGTACATATACCCCCTCGAGGGGGAGAACAAAACTACTCTCTCTTTGTGTGGACTGCACACCATGACTGCCCGGCAAACGGCTCTGTGCGGAAAGGTAATAAAAAGAGCAACTTGACAGTGACTCTGATGAACACATCCTGAGCCGGATAATCAAAGTGACCAGCCAGTGAGAAGTGGTGTCGACGGTTTGTCCTCTCGCGGTGTAACAGAAATGACGTTTCACCTGTGCGGGCTTCCACTCAGAGGCCCCGAGCTCATGAGGAGAGTGTGAGACCAGCTCCCGTGACGGCACTGCAGACGCCCCATCCGGCACGGTGGAAGCGCCGTCATGGCCAGGAGGAGCCCGAGGGGACAGGACAGCCAAGTAAGGTGTGGGGTCTTAGATGGGATTCTGAAATGGAGGAAAGACTTTAGGTAAAAACTGAGGAAATGCGAATAAATAATGGATGTTACATATCAGCGCTGGTTTATTATGACAAACGTGTCGTACTAATGTAAGATATCAGTAATGGGCAGCTGAGTGTGGGTGATGTGGGGACACTGTGTTACCTTGGCAGTTTCTGTGAATCTGAAACACTGCTAATAGGAATGGACACAGCACTTAGACAGGAGCCCAGTGAGAACATAGAAGACTAGAACAGCAAGCAGCCCACTTGACCCAAGTGACACTTGCAGAGCCTTCCCCCAGCCATAGCAGGACGCACAGCCTTTCCACGCGCATGGGAGGCTGTTATCAGGATAGACCAGAAGCGCAGCATAAAACTAGCAAATTAAAATAATCTAATCATACATAGTAGTTATTCCTACCATAATAGGTTTAAACTAGGAATCAGTAAAAAAAAAAAAAAAAAAAAGATTGTAAGAACATCCCCAAATATTTGGAAATGAAGCAACACACTTCCTCCTCCCTACCTCTCTCTCTCTCTCTCTCTCTCTCCCCCTCTCCCTCTCTCCCCCTCTCCCTCTCCCCCCCCTCTCCCCCTCCCC